GAACCCTTTTTTTTTTTTTAGCTGGTGAAAATACTAGTGTTCTAATAATTTTGGCTACTACTGTGTGTGTGTGTGTGTGTGTGTGTATATATATATTACAACAATATATGACATGTCTGTTCATGCACACACCATACAGGTCTTTTCCAATGGGCCCCATGTTCCTCCGGGCTCTTCCCAGCCGCCTCACCCTACTCGATGTGATCTTGCCCGGCGAGCTCCGTCCCGCCTGCAGCAGCTCACCGGGCTGCCATAACAAGTGCAGGTACCGGAGCTCCGTGTCCGCTGGCGGTCGGGTTCGGTTGAGCCTCAGCGTGTCCAGACGGGAGATACTGAACCCGACCGCACCTGCAGCCTCCATCGGCGTCTCCTCCTCCCGTTTCTCGCCGTCTCTCACCGCAGGTCCGTGCGCTACCGTGTACTCTCCCTCCGAACTGGACCGGTCGCCATCCGAGGCGGCGGCAACAAGTGGGCTCGACACGTCCATACTAATAAGGCGTCTACTGCACTAACGTCAGCATGTAAATGTCAGTAACGTTCCGCCAGAATGTAAATACTGTATCTGTTGCACAAACCTAACGCAGCATTGTTACACTAGCAGTATTCTTCAAAACTGTATTTCGAGCTAAGCTTTAAATAAAGAAACGTTGCTTTTGCATTAATTTCATTGTAATTTAATTTTGTGATGTTGAATCCAAACCGTTCCGTGTTCCGACAAGCACTGAACTCAGTCTATTTGAGCCAAAATGGCGCTGTTTCAATGTTTTGCGCCTGTTTTCAGTAAAACACGTCTGCATTGCTTAGTCTGAATTCATCGTGACCAAGGCAGCCAATCAACATCGATGTTGTTAAAGCGCTCTTCCAATCAGAGAACGTATCGTCATAACGTAGTAAATATACGTACGTAATTTTTTAGAAAAGTGATTTCTGGCTTATTTTATTTATTGATTAATTTTTTATGAAAACGATTAGGGTCTTGAATTTATTGAAAATTTCTGCATTTGTTAGTTATGATTTGCACATGTAATCCCCACTAGTGGGCCCTCAGTAAACTTACACAAGGGTCAAAATGTAAAAGTAAAAATATATTCAAATAATTTAACAATTCACATGCTAAATCTGCTAAAAGATGTGTGCATAATATTTCCTACTCTGGATTAAATCAGGAACTCAGAACATGCTTAGCTCACATCTTGACAGCATTACACGACAAACAAAACCGACTGAATTTTTATGTTGTTTTCTTTGAGAACAAATGTTTGAGTTTGAAGTTTATTTCATTTTCTGCTTAGCAATACTGAGATTGAATTATTGCAAAAAGTGCACTGAAAGATAAAATACTCAAGAAATATAAAAGCAGATATTCAAAACATATTCAATAATACTACACCAATACTAAAAAAAAAATACCTATGCACACATACACATATACATCCGTCCATACATGTTTTATAGTTGAACTCTTTCCAATATCCAATATGTTTAGTCTTTTTTTATAAAAAAAAACATTGTTAATTTCATAAATGACTACAATGACGTTTTATGCTACAAAATATATAACCACCAGACACACCTTTCTGTAATTAATTATTGAGATGGGATGTACATGCATATCAAACCAAGAAAAAAACTTTCTGATATACCTTTAACAATTGTATAAAAAAATTAGTTATGCATTGTATTGCAACACCAAACCCAACACCATAAAACAGTATATAAATCTATACTTTGGCTTATAAAAACTATGGCAAGGCAAATACTCATTATTTAACTTAACTGTATGTTTGATCGTAGTCTCAGGATGCTGGATGTGGGACGTTTTCTATGGAAATGTAAGTAAATTGAGAAATGGGAGGTAGATTAACAGGATTTTAGCAGGACAGATTTGGTCTTTGGTACCGTTAATGCCCTTCAAAGGTCAAAGTTCATAGCTGAAACAACTGCAGCGCCAGCATGTTTCAGGTATTCAGATACTGAAGTGTCTCCCTGATGATCTGCCATAAGTCCTGCCTCACGGGCATGTTGCCATAGGTGGCTGTTTCCCACAATGCCCTGCTTTCTTAAATAACCTTGACGGCAGAAGAGGGGTGGGGTACGACTGGTGAGGGACAGAAGGAAACAGGATTCTGAAGAAAACGGACACACAGAGGCACATAATAGATGATTAAGTCCTGCAAGAAAAGCTGCAAAAAGTAACTCCTCTATGCTGTTTTTTGAAAGAAGTCTCTTTTGCTCACCAAGGCTGCATTTATTTGAACACAAATGCAGTAAAAACACTAAGATTGTGAAACATGATCACAATTTAAAATAGCTGTAATAACGTTGTAGTAAATAACTGTTGCAAAGGTGAATTATCAGCATCATCACTCCAGTCTTCAGTGTCACATGATCCTTCAGGAATCATTCTGATATGCTGATCAAGAAACATTTCTTATTATTATCAGTGTTGAAAACACTTGTGCTGCTTCATATTTTTGTAGAAACGGATACATTTTCTGGACTCTTTGATGAATAGAAAGTTTAAAAGAACAGCATTTATAATTTGAGAATTTTAGAATTATTGGCACTCAAAAAATGTCTCAGAAGAACAACATTTCTGTACTGACCAGCATAAAAGGCCCTGAGGTCAGTTTGGAGGCAGTGCTCGAGGAAGTGTCTGAGAGGTTGGCTGTGTGATATGGGCTGATCCCATTCAGTTAAGAAGTCCTCAACCATGTGATGAACGGCCTCAGGTCGTGGTAGTGGCCAGCTAACAGGACGCTGTCTCATATCTTTCTCTAGAGAAACAGAGCACACTGATTTTCATATTCCAGTACATGATTATGATAGAATATCAGGAACAGGATAGTCCAAAATGTTTTCTCAACAACATCCCAATCTCATACACGTCCACATATGTGAGATTAAGAATTACTTTGCTCTGTATCCACTATATAGAAATCAACAGAACATGTTAGAGCAGCTCTTCACCTGTAGGTAGTGTGTTGTAGTAGTACAGGACCGGATGGAGGAAGTTGGACCTCCAGGCTTTGGTCCATTCTGACTCAGCTCGACCTGGTCCTAGCGTATCAGTCTGGTTCAGTCCATACTGCATGACCAAGACCAGAAGACCATGATCCGAAAGGAGCCGTCCAGATAGAGCAGACAGCTGGGGCAAGGCCTGTAGAGGAAACTCCTCCAGATATTCACAGTAAGACCTGTGGAAAGAAGGAGGAGAGAGATTTGTGTAGGAAAAAAAAACAGTTATCACAGTAGCCATATCTAATTTGATATAAATGAAAACAGGCCGTGCGGGATAGAATTACAGTCCGTTCAACATTGTCAAGGTCGGAAGACGGATACAATTTTGACAACCCATGAGTTTAGAGTTCACTGGACATTTGGAAAGACTGCTCAGTAAAATGTTTGTTTTTTTAAAAAGAAATGAATACTTTTATTCAGCAAGGATGCATTAAAATGATCAAAAGTGATAGTAAAGACATTTATAATATTACAAAAGATTTCTATTTCAAATGTGTTATTTTTAACTTTTGAACTTCCTATTCAGCAAATAATCCTGAAAATAATGTATTATAGTTTCCACACAAATATTAAGGAGCACAACTGTTTTCAATAATAATAAATGTTTTGTGAGCAGCAAATCAGCATATTAGAATAATTTCTGAAGGGTCATGTGACACTGAAGACTGGAGTGATGATGCTGGAAATTCAGCTTTGCATCACAGGAATAAATTACATTTTATAATATATTAGATTAGAAAAGAGCTATTTGAAATTATAATAATATTTCACAATATTGCTGTTTTTACTGTATTTTTGATCAAATAAATGCAGCCTTGGTAAGCGTAAGAGACTTCTTCCAAAACTAATCTAATCAACCCCAAATTTCATCAGCTGAATGATTGACAACTAAGTACAACATATTGGGTAACACTTTACAATTCCATTAGTTAATGTTAGTTAATGTATTGACTAACATGAACCAACAATGAGCAATACATTTATTACAGTATTTATTCATCTTTGTTAACTCAAGTTAGTTAATGAAATTCAGTTGTACATTGTTAGTTCATGTTAATTCATTAACTAATGTTAACAAGCACAACTTTTGATTTTAAGAATGCATTAGTAAATGTTGAAATTAACATTAGCTGAGATTAATAAATGCTGTAGAGGTATTGTTCATTCTTAGTTCACGTTATCTAAAGTAGTTAACTAATGTTAACTAATGAACCTTAAAGTGTTACCACATATTGTACTGTACATGCATCCCTTAAAACATTTCTTACCCTCGCAGTAGAATAATGTCCCCAAGAACCCCAAACATCTGATACGGTCCAGAAGCTTCATTCACCCTCCTAAGAATCCAGGACTGCAGCTGACTAATAGATAATTCTGTAGCAGGCCAGGCAATGTTATGGTAACGCTGCTCCAGGATTTTATGAACAGCACGCACTGTAGTAGCAAAACAGAGGAACTTTATTATGACCTCCTACGTTCTTATGACAAACCTGAAATGTTATGTATAAATGAGGTGTAATGCTTACCAGTGTAGCGGAATCCATGAACAAACCCACCGGCAGACATACGATAATCTCTGGAGTGGGCTGCTGTACCCAGGACAAACATGTTGGGGGTACCTCTGCCTTCATAACAGGCTGTTATTCCTGGCAATCGACCTCGGGCACCACTGCTTTGGGGCGGCCGCGCAGATCTGGATAAGTAATGAAAATATTTTGTCAATGTGACCATAATTACACTACCAGACAAAAAGCACACCAAAAATATAGTAAAATAGTAATACAGTTAAATATTATTACAATGTAAAATAACTGGGCATATTCATCATTTCAATTGTTGATCTTACCCATCAAAAATGGAGAAGTTAAAACGAAAGCCCAGGCATCGGATCACTCTGTCATATGGCTGTCTGAGCGAGAAGTTATCAGTGTGGTAACCAGGCAGATTTTGCCCAGTGACCTTTGAAATGTTGTTGCCATTCTGGTCATCAAGAAGTTCAGTAAGAGTTAAATACAGCTGCTCCTTTCCCTCTGTTGGTGTTTGACTTCTTTTCTTTGCTGTTCTTCTCTTCCCTCCATCTTTTTCTCTACGGACAATGGCAATATCCTCCAGTCTTCCCTCCACTAGGCCGTCTAAAGATTTCAGCTGGTACGTGTCTAATAGCTCATTGTTTACTGCCCTACAAAAGAGAAATGTTCATTTCAACTTAAGGTGCAATCACATTAGCAAAATATTGTGGGCACAAAAGATCCACTGTCTACTGTCAATAGTGTAGCAATGTATGAAGCACAGCTCACACAAAGGTCACTTTCAAACCAAGAAGCTTTCTGTTGGTCAGTGTGGCAAATTCGAGTGACCAACTTGGAACCTGTTGTGAAATCTGTGTGGGGAAATATTTGCCCTCACGTGAAACCTGGATAAATCACTTGTGCATTTTGGTTGCAGCTATAAGCAAACTTGAAACCATTCATTTTATACATTATGCAAAAAGTTGGACAGGGTGGAATAAATACCTGAGGTCCCCAACGTAGTGTGTCTGCCATGCAAGCCGTACTGGGCTGGGACTATATAAGTGAATCCGACTCGCTCTACCCAAGATGCTCTGTGCCGTCTCAAAGGCGGAGTTTCCTTTGCCAAGGATTAACACAGCCTGGTCTTTAAACTCCTCAGGATCAGTGGGAATAGACTCGTAACCCTCCACTAGGTCAGAACCAAGAAAATCCACCTGCTGAGGAACCC